TCGTTCTTGAGGTGCTGCTAGTCGCAGTGGTAGTATTCTCAGTGTCATTAATATCATCAGTATGACAACTACTATGATTTTAATGTTATTATTACCATTATCAGAACTAGTATATGTTAGGATTACTGTTATCATTTCTAACTTTCTCTGTTATTGTTGCCATCCCTAGCGTCAAAAATACTTTTTCCAGTGTCAGTATGATTATCTCTATAGTATATGGCGTTAGCGTTATTATGGTTATATTTATTATTGCTGTTATCCTTTTGAAAAATATGCAGGAATTACTATTTTCATTTTAATAATGTTTAATAATGTTATAAAGTATCTTGACATATTACCATCGCCAAAGCTATTATCATGATTATCAATGATATCATAATAGTAACGTTATCATTATCGTTCTGTTCAATATCATCATGGGCATTACTATGCTGAGTTAGCTAAAAGGACAAAAAAATATCGAAAAAGTTAAAAGGTAAACGTTTGAAAAGCTTCTAAAACCTTCAGTAATAAATTCTTTTGTTTGTGATTATTCAACATATGTAATACGTTATCGCTGCACAGCTGTATAAATTAACTATTCATTTAATGTATATACCTTGCTTACTAAGGCGTGTGTGTGTACCTCTCATACACGGGATGAATATCGTATATTACAGCATTCATGCAAATCACTCAAACTAAAAATATCAATCAAATAGCATTCAGTATCACAGACATAAGATAAGATACACCTTCACCTGCACACTTCTCTCTCATGCTTTCACCTTTCTGAGAACAAAACAAAAAACAAGAAACGCTAATATTTACTCTGCCAATGAAGCACTCACGAGAGTAGACTACAACTCACAGCAACAGTAGAGTGAACACTGAGCTTCCCAAGGTAACTAAGCGGGTTTAATAAGGTGGCATTACAGGTCCGGCAACTCACCATTGGCTCATCCAAGGACACGTGGAAAGGTGGGATAGGTAGACAGGCAGAAACTCTCGAATTGGTTTTCATTTTTCATCGCTTTCGATGTTATACTTGAATATTT